CAACATAAATTTCGTACTCAATGAATATTCTATATCCTGTATGTAGTAGCAGTAAATAGGGGAGAAAATGCACACAATCGATTTTTCTCCCTTTCATTTGCGAGCACGAAAGTGAAAATCGGGAGCAGATTTCCACAAACTTTCTAGGAAGCTAACAAAAGAATTTTATTTTAAAACAGCAGCCACAAAAAACATAAATTTTCGAGCGCGGCATAATAGCTATTCAATGTGAACAAGCCTATAGTTTTGAGTGATTTTTATTTTCGACATTTTCCGGCTTTTTGCCATTTTCTCATTACAAATTGCGATGTTGGCAAAAAAGGACATAAATGAAATGTTTTTTGTTGCTTGCTTCGAAACTGTATGCGGCAATACACAATACAAAATTGTGGGAGGTAAAAACGAGAAAATTCTGCAAACCAAATTAGAAGAAGTGGGATGAATGAGGAGGAAAAGGAGATGAAACGTCAGTTCCTCTCTTCTCATCTCACGTTCTATGTAGGTCGGTCGGTGGCATGAGGGAGGAAATTTTTTACGTTATGAGCATGAATTAGAAATGTGATGAGATAATTTATAAAACTTGATGACTCAGTAATCTTCCTTGGTTCCATTTTGTCATTTTTATGAATGACTGAACTTCTAAGGATTTACTGGATGTTAAATTGAGGGTTGAAAATAAACATAATACGGAATTTGAATTTAATAATTCATGCCGCTAAAGGCTTATGATTAGCTTTTAAAAGATTCATCATTATTTTTTCATGGCCTTCAGTGAAATTGTTATGTTCGATGTCGAGGAAATGATTTTCTTCCTTTCCTTTCTTCTGTGACGTTTTCGTGCAAAAAAATCCTGATAAATATAGAATGTAATTACGTATTCTGGTGTGTGATTTAAGACTGTAATTTATGTAATTATATTGTCTAGACAAGTGGAAATAAATAAGGAAGAGAAAGTGAAATTTTGGATTAACGGTTTTTTCAAATTTAAAAATGCAACGACATTTAAAATTTGAAGTCATTTCAGCCGTTTTTCACGTTTATTGCTGGATTTTGTAGTCACGATCCCAAAAAAATTTTTCATTGCTTCCAAAAAGCTCTAAAAATAATTTTTTAAAGTTCAATAGAAAAACCTGTATCGTCAAAATCCGTTCTTAACGAGAATAAAAATTTTATGTCCTCATAAAAATCAAATGCATAAAATAGCTCATTCCTCAAAATTGACACGAAATTAAATTCTTTTTCCTTTAAAAATAAATTATATAAACGTTTTCACGTCACGTTGCTTGGATAGACACTTAAATACCACCTGACATATTCAATTTTTGTTCATAAAAGCCAATGAGGAATCAAATTTCGATTTAAAACTTATGGAATTATGAGTGAACCCTTTTGTAAAAAAAATTGACCTTCTTTATTCAGTTCTCGCAAATTATTGCTGCTATTCAGTATTGATTAAGCTTTATAAAACTTGAACATGTTTTGAATGACACAAATTGGCGTTGAGTTTTAGCACAATGCATTTCACAGTTTTATAAATAACCTTTCTGAAATATCCGCACATAAAAAGATCATCGACTCTTGCTATCCTGATTCTTATGCTACTATCAATGATCTTCTTTTTATTCTCTCGACTCAATATTACGAAGACGTGTCGCCTTTAAAGTCATTTAATCTGATTTGCTCGACTCATTTTATTTATAAATGTTGCACAAGAAAAATCATTGGATACAATTGGGACATAAAAAAAATTGAGCACGAATGCACAGTTTTGAGGATGATAGAAAGTAATAAAAAAATAAAAATAAAATTATTTTTGTGAAATTTGAGGGTGGTTGTTGGAATTTATGGGCTTTCTAGCAGTGTGGGTTATACTTAAGTGCCTGAATGGAGTCTTGTCTAGGGTCTGAGTCTTTTATGCTTACCTTAGAAGTGTAGCTTGATTTTCATTCAAATTTCAATTTTGAAGGAGAGTTTGAATCTCTGACTATGCAAAGGAAAGGTTTCTAACAACCAACCAATCAGTATGCAACAGAAACCTAACCCTATCTTCCTTGATCCACAAATCTTAAGACTCTTTGTAATTTTTTCAAAACATTTTAACTTTTACGTATTTATATCAAATGATTCATGAGCTAGAAATAAGATTATTATTGGAACTCAAGGAAAATCCACTCAATTATGTTCCTTTATGTGCGGTTTTTTATCATGAAAAGGAAAAACTTTTTTTTTATTGTCAAAACAAGAACGAGAAGAAAACAATGGAAAAATATGAAATATTAAGATTCAGATCGACACGAAAATTTCATTAAGCGAGGCTAAAAATAGTGAAAACTTGCTTCCATCTCGAATTACGTTAAATAAAATTTGATCGTTGACAATAAATAACTGAAAGTTCATATCGAGTAACCTGCCTCTCAGTATGATGTATTAGCTTACTCATGATGATAATTTATATAGCTAGGCGAATTATTTACGCTCCAGTGGACTTCGATTGCATTTTTTTTCTTTCTACAGCTATTTATTATTGCTGTAATTAAGTTTATAACTGCAGCAAAGGAGCGGCCTTGAAATGATTAATTCAAAATTCTCATGCTGATGCATTGAATTTTTGTGTGATTTAAGAATTCAGAGAATTTATATTCATCCAGCTGTAGTCAATGAGATTTTAATTGATGTTAAATTCCCATCAATTCTTGTTCTCTGTATGCTGTGTAGGACTTTTTGACCAAACATTGCAAAATTTTCTTGAATATTTTATGAGAATGCGAAGAAGATTTTTGAGTTATTGCAGCAAAAGGTTCATAATATGCTAAGAGCTGTCGGTACATAACATTAAGAATTAAAATGGGTTGAATCGGGGAAACCTTTGAGAAGTTTGTAGCTCCTTTAAATCTTAAATCTTTTGAGCTTTGATGAAACTTTTTTGAATTTGATTTTTACTTCTCTAAACTTTGTTTCTTGAATGAATATTCTTGTCTATCGGAATTCCTTTCGTGCCAAAAATATTTTGAAGAATTTTTCAACAATTGGCACTGACATCATAAAGGGTCATTCACTTATTATGTCTATTTTTTTGGGGTCGAGCTATGTATCAACAAAATAGTAAGTTTGCAGTCAAGTCAAATTAAAAAAATCACATCATCGTTTTTCAACAGAAACTGCATAATCTGAGTTAATCTAGATATCATTCATACCTTATTAAATTACAATATACAAATTATTTCTCATTAATCATTACGTAATAAGTTCAGATGTTAGAGCTATTAATGATAAAGATCATAAAAGTCTCAAACACAAAAATTCTATTTATTCAATCGAAATGACTCTTTATTGCAATCCATTCATAGCTGTAGAGCAAAAAAAGATAGATGAAAATAACTTTTACAAATGTTTCATTGTAGCCGACATTATTAATTAACATAATCGTGATAAAAAAGTTGAAATACACTTGTATAAATGCTCTTGAATCATCTGTAATAATGAAATTTGCATGAGACACTTTTTGTCTTCGCAAAAGTGTTTTATGGACGTTATTAATATGATGATCTTCTTTTTAGAAACATGCAAACTTGTTGAAATTCTCTTTTTACAAATTGCTTGCTCAAATAACATTTGTTTGTGAAAGGCCAGCACAGAAACAGCATTATTTATTTCTCTGAAAAGCAATTGCACAAACAGAAACTTGAATAATTTTATTTTCGCGCGTTGCTGTAAATCAGATCTCATAGAGTAGTGATCGCTTCTGCTAGGTTTTGACTAAAGCCTTAAATTTTATAAATTCACAAGTGTCGTAAAATTAAATCTCAAAAATAGTTGAAAATTTCGGTAAATTCTATTTTCAAAACACAAGCCACAGTCATCCACATGAGGCATGACTGTATCATCAATTAAATATCTTTAAAAAAAATTGTTAATTCATAAAATCAACATTATTCATGAGTCATCAAGAATGAAATTTATTAAAATTAGCAAAAGAATATTCGAGAATTTATAGCTTATTGTATGCAACACACGGAGAAGAGGAAGATCTGTTTGTAGAAGAACATAAACCAAGCCCATTGTAAATTACAAGTTTCATATTCATAAAAAGTAATAATGAGTATGATGATGATGATAATGACCATTGGTCGGGTCTAAAAATATTATTCGTCACATTCTATTGCTTATTACTAGCACCCATCTACTAATTTATATTCGCAACGCTGTTTGTCTTTTATGGAACTTCTATTATAAAAATCATCATCAATCTACTGGAAGTATATGAGCAACGGAAGTAGTGAAAAAATACCCGGGAGAGTGACGTTAATTATTTGTTGACAGTATAAAGAATTAGTCGCGTGGAATTAAGATATCATAGTCAATTAGTCGTATGATTGATGTTACTACATACATGATAGATATTCATGGATTGATAAAGTATAAATCATATTATGAAATGGGTGTGAGCTTATGCATAGACCAGCATAGACTACAAATCACTTTTGTGCAAATATTTCTATGAATTAATTACTTTTGAAGCTCATGCTTCAGCATAAATAAGCTGAAAACTATGAAGTTACACGTCCATGCTAATTAAGATGTGTTTATTAAAATATGATAGATAAATATCGACAATGGAATTAGCTGCAAATTAAATTATTGACATTAAAAAATTGAATGATGAAAAACCAACGCAACTTACTTCAAACTGTGTCGAGAAACAAATAATAATATTTATAAATGCATTGCCTATATCAATTATTATCTTTGAAAAGTGAAACGATAATCAAGTTGTCAATATAAATATTAATAATAATTAAGTGTAGAAAAAATATTCACAGACACAGCGAAAAAAAAAGATCTGAGTTTGTTACATTAAACTTGACAACGAACAACTGAATGAGCACAAGTGCGATTAATTAACTAATCATAATCATAACAAATAGTTTATTTGCATACAACAATTTCGTCCGTTAATTGATATTACAATTAAATTATAAAATATAAATAACTCATTCAATATGGTCGATGTTTGTTGTCTTCGTATGTCTGCGAGATGCTCGAGGTAAATTATTTTTGTAACTTTCTTTAGCACATCCTTTAAAAATTTAATTTTCAAGATTGTTCTTTCTTTGTATAAGATTTGGTTGCGATACATTTATCCTCATATAGTATAATAAAGTTTCTGTAATCTGTGCATCATGCAATTCTATAGATTTTTTTTTCACAAAGTTCTGCTTATAAGCTTAGTTTTTCTATGAATGGAATTTGAAGAGGAGAGGGGGGGCCAAAAAATTTTTTTGTATGGAAAAATTTAAGGGGGGGGGGGGGGTGTTTTTGTGATTTTTTCATAAAAACCATAACAAAATAAAGAAATTTCTGTTTACGTTGGGGGATTTGCCCCCCAAATCCCCCCCCTCTCCTGGCTACGCGCCTGAATTGTGTTTATTGTCTGACTTCTTTGTATATTTTGATTTAATTGCAGATCTTTTAATGACTGTAATAAAAGTTTTAAGCACTTTATGATTCGCACGATTTTATGGAAGTCTTAATATATTTGTTAACAAATGCAAACCAGTCACACCACTGATAGAGCAGCAAAATTAAATCAATATCTAAATGATCAGCACGTGAGAAAACTTTTGTCTCATTTCTTTACATAAGCTTACTTTTTGGATTTACATTGTAGATCATTAGAACTTCAATTTATCTTCATTGACGATTAGAATTTATTGCTTACATTCAATTACTTGTTATAGACCTAAAAGTCACTTTACACCATAAATTACTTAATTTTCCCTTTTTTTAAATTTTTCCGTTTCCCTAAAAAAGGCAATTGAATCGCGTGTCCAATTGAGTTAATATGCTCGCGACACGATTTTATCTTCGTTAAACTATTTTCTTCTATTTTTGTTTACATCACATGTATCAGGCATTGATCTTGGCTCGAGCGAGCAAGTAAGTGAAGAGCTTAGCTAGTTTCATTAAATTCAATTGAAATAAGCAATAACAAGAATAAAAATAGATCGATGTGACACATAAAAAATTGTGTAATAAATAAAACTATTCTGGTTCTTATTTTGCCTTTATTTGTATGTCTCACATGTGCCCACGGATAATTTGTGATTCAATAAAACTAAGATTAATTTCAATGTTAAGCTACAATTACCACGGACTAATAAATTGCATAAAGTTGATACATTGGGGAATATCGCGATGTACAAAAAGTTGAGTCCATAATTAGCATGAAGAAATTCCATGATTTATGGCATCCTCAACCTTACTTCTTCCGCTATTCACGTGCATATATGAGCAGCATATAAAGTTTTCAGACACTTGCAAAAATAAATTGGAACTGATAATCTCATCATAATTAACATAAAGAAGCGAGAATGTAAATTATGTGAACGAAAGTTCCACCTTCCAAAAATCGATAGAATTTAACATTGAATCTTATTGATTTTTTTTTATTCCGGCTTTCTCTATGTCTTTATTTTGATTCTTTTGTTGTATGTGTTTATATGCTTGATTCTTAAAATAATCGTGAATGCATTCTGAATTCGTAATTGAATTTCACTTATAATTCAGTTCATTGCCGGCTTATGTGTATTCATTGGATTTCATGACAAGAACGAAAACAATGAGAGAAGGAGATAGATAGATGATGAAGAGTAGAATGGGGTTATTTATATGATATATGCTGACATAGTTGGAATTATTCTCGCTTAAAATGTCATTCTTGCTTGCCATTTAACATAATAAAATTTTTATGTTACATGCTTATCCTTGACTTTCAGTTTTTATTACATTCGCTTATGCTGCTCTGGTCTCACAGTGACATATTTCATGAATTTTATGGATGATTTTGTTTTTATTTCCTTAATTTTATGTCCTGTTCCAATGATTAATGTAATTGGTCATAAACTTTGATCTTGAAAATTTGGGCGGGAAACTTTTCGTTGACGAACCTAAACTTGCAGATTATCTAGTTAAAATTGACTGGTTTTGACTTCCACTTCCATAATAAAGGAAAAGTAGCTCATGCTTAATTAAAATGTTGTTTAAATAAAACAGAATTCTATCCTTTCTGCTACGTTTCTGTTTCGGAATCATAAAAGTGGATACACCCTTTATGTATTCACAAAACTCTTGAAATCAAAAACATTTCTATCAAATTAAAATGAACAGAACATAAACAAACAAACAAAGAAAGTCATAAAAGCTCTCAAAAGCCTTTTTTCTTTTTGTCGAATTTCCTTAGTCAAATAGTTTTCCTCGTCGAGAATTTGAGTGTTTATTTTCAGCACGTCATAAATCACAGAACAATTTATTGTATAATCTTCAATTTCTTTTTCTTTCTGTCTATCGTATTTCCCATAACAGGCCTATTCGACCAACAGCAAAGGATGTAACAAAGCTCAGTAATGCAATATCAAATCATGACTGCGGAAATCTCGCTAGAGTTGTTATGGTGCGGAAAACAGATCAGCGTGTCATCAACCATAAAAGCCAAAAGGTAAATTAAGCTTAATTGTAAATTATTAATTTGTTTGGCGCCGAATATTGATTTTAATATTATACACGTGCTTGTTTGTTTGTCTACATAGGATCATCCTGTTGAGACGATTACTATGGAAACAATTCAGACATATAAGGGGCATAAGCCAGATAGAACTGTAGTGACAAAGAAGCGTGATTTATCAGCAAATGCTGTTTTATCATCATCAACATCATGTGAACGTGATCAAGGATATTCGTCACTCAACAATTCCACATTCTCACCATTGAGTCGAAAATTGAATTCGGAAATGAGCAAAGATTTCAGTTCACTAAGCTTATTGACTCCAGATGATGCGACAGCATATAACAGTATAAGTAACAGTCCCAATAATAATCCGAGAAAAACAATCCTAAATGGTGTCGTCAATCGTGACACAAATAATAATCCTTATGGTACACCGACTTTATACTCGAAGCACAACCGCAATTCACTTAATGTCAAAATTCAACAGCAGCAACTTCACCAGCACAATGATGAGCGAGCAGTTAGTCTCAGAAATTCTCCTAGTCTTCGACATTCACCAAGCCTTCGCCACTCAACACCTTCACCAATTAATCGTAGGTCATTATACAGTGACTTTGAGATTGAATGTCTTAAAACACATAATGAATATAGAGCAAGACATGGTGTACCGGCTCTAAAATTAAGTAAGAGATTGTGTAAACATGCTGAAGAATGGGCGAGAATTTTGGCAAGTCGTGGAGTTTTAATTCACAGAAACAATTCGCAATATGGTGAAAATATTTTCTGTTTGTGGAGTTCCAATGCGAATAATAATCATGTAAATGGTCAAGAGGTTGTTGATTCATGGTATTCAGAAATCTCACAGCACGTATTTTATAAGGAACCCACAACATTAAAGACGGGTCACTTCACACAAGTTGTGTGGAAGGAAAGTCGAGAATTGGGTGTTGGAATGTCTCGAAATAGAAGCGGTGAAGTTTTTGTTGTTGCTAATTATGATCCACCCGGTAATTTTATCGGGTCGTTTGAGAAAAATGTACCGCCATTACTAGGTGATGACTTAAAGTCACGACAATCGATGGAGAGATCGAGCGTCGAAAGTACGAAGACATTTGAAGAGGAACTGGAAGAATTTGCTCAAAAAATGCTAAAACATCACAATGAATACAGAAAGGTTGGTAATTAATCACTTGTTATGATAATCTCCTGTACTAATTAACATTATCCCTCATTACAGAAACACTTTGCACCCGAATTAAAGTGAGTATTACAGACATGAGATGTAGATGGCGTGACTAGTAAAAATTTTAAATTTTTTGTTTCCGTTATTTTTTAGACTCACAAAAGAAGTCATGAATGATGCACAACGCTGGGCTGAAAAATTAGCTGAAGCAGATAAATTCACCTACAGACAGAGCTCCCAATATGGAGAAAATTTGTACTGCTTATGGAGCAGTGACAGAGATGCATGGCCAAATCCCAAAGAAGTTTGCAAGTGAGTAGGAACTAGGCTAAGATTTTTTTGGGTACAATAATGATGTTCCTTTAAATCCTCAGATCTTGGTATGATGAAGTCAAGCAATATACATGGAATGTTGAACCGAAAACGTCCTTTAAGGCTGGCCAATTCTCTCAGATGGTGTGGAAGTCATCGAGAGAACTAGGCATTGGTGTTGGTCGCACAAAGAATGGAAAAGTAATCGTTGTAGCTTCCTACTATCCCCGTGGAAATATCATTGGACATTTCTTGAATAATGTGAGGAGAAGTAACTAAACTGAATGAGACTGGAATCCCTTGTCAATAATATACATGCATAAAATACCAAATAGAATTTTTTAAATAAAGAAGCATTGTAAACCTTTATAGATTTCTAACGCAAGCAATAGACATGCTTTCTCATTGCAAGAATCCAGGTTTAATAAGCCTTCACCGACTATTTATGAGAATCCCATTTTTATTCCTTAATATTTTCCTAATAAATGCCATAAAAAGGATTTTGTAAAAAAAGAAATCTTTTTCAACATATTTATGCACAAAGAGCATTTTTAAGATTTTTGCATTAAAACTTATTCATAAAAAAAAACACAAACATATTGTTGGATATGAACACATTTTGACTTAATTAAACTTTAATAATATTAAATTATTGAAAGTATTATCAGCTTAATTTTAGCGAGTAAGCGATCGATGACTAATAATTTTGAATTTACAGGGAAAGTTGAAAAGAATGAAAAAATTTAAATAAAAATTTTGAATTTGTTCAACAAATTTTTTTGATGAAATTTAATAAAGTCCTTAAATTTCCATTTTGATGAACTCTTGAGGTGTTTTGTCACTTTTTGGGCAGCAGCGACCTTGTTTCTATTGAAATTCTGATGAAAAATACGCCATCATCGTTTGAATATTATCAATATTCTTTTATGACTCTTATATGAGCAACAAAAGGAACCTTTATGAGTCGATGTTGTATAGAAATAATTAAAGATCAAGTAAAGAGAAAAGAAAGTAAAAGGCAGCAACAAAAACAAAAACAATGATGAATATTGGAAGCCCTGATTATATTGCCTTTCTTTATATTTTATAGCCATTGCCCGGGTGTGGTTGTAAATCTTTTTTTCTTGTCTTATCAAATTACCTGAAACACACATTAAGTTTTGTATATCAGCAATTTACCTGACGAGCATCATAAAATTTTTGTACATTTCGTAATGGAAAATTAAAGTTTTTATAACTCGACCACATTTTTGCATTCTCAGGGTGAAAACAATACACACATCATGCTCTATGCTCCTTACCTTTATCTACTAGTACTGATTCAAATATTCTAAAAACATTTAATTCCTCTCACAAATAAAAAATCTACAATTTCATTTATTATCATTTAAATTTTCCCCTACGGGTCGTCCACAAATGACCTAACTTATGTTTTCATTGTCATTTGTGAATGGAACCACCAAAAATAAATGCACAAATTAATATAAGATAACTAAAGGAATTAAATTGAGGATTTACTTGGAATTCTTAGATCGATTCAATTTTTGATAGTGATGTGCGCATACCTTCTCAGAAGTCTTTTGTGTTGCTTCTTCTAGCCCTCCGCGGGTTAAAAGATTAAAGTCAATTACCGATACGTACGATTTTGGCGGTACCATAAATGTTTCAGCTTTTGAAGGACAATTTTCAGATATTGTTGATGCTGGTGCATGCTTCTTCTTGTGCTTTGGACTTAACTCAAGATTAGCTAGCTTTAGTGATGGAAATGGATCACTTTGAGTCTGAATGAATCGTAATCGATTATGCTGCAGCATAAAGTGGCTATGGAACGGATATCGAACGGGGGATAAATTCTCCCCAACGGATGTGTCACTGTCATAACAAATTGATAAGTCAGTGTAATTAATTGGAGCATTCTCGCGTGTTGTTTTTGGTCGGAGAGGGTAAATATTCTTGATTTTACGTCGTGGTCGATGAGTTTTCGGTCTTCCCCTTCGTTTCGTGATTATTTCCATAAGTGGTGGAATGGGAAGAATATTTGTGAATCTATAATATTCCAATAACGAACGTGCTAAATTCCTTCCCACTTTCATATCTACAAGAAGAAAATAAAATGTGCAAAATCATTATGGATTCTTGAATTTCAATTTCAATTCGAATTCCTTACAGTCAGCCTCAGTGTATGGTGTTGCAATGTTTGTTCCCTTAATAAAATATCCATTCATCGACACTTGTAATGTATAGACATTAACATTTTCACTCAATCGATTACACAAATAACGACGTGCTGTTCCTTGCTTACGATCATCAGCATTAAAAATCATATTGTCATTTTGAAAGTCAGCACAACGACTGGCAAACAATTTTGGAAATACGAGATGACGTTCGTATCGATAACTTGAAATGAGAAAAGAAGAGAAATGTGATATGAATTAAAAGATTTTAAATTTGCATATATTAAGGCTTACACATCCTCATATGCATTTCCATATACGAAACATCCCATGAATGTAGAGTGCGCATGTATGTCAATTACAAAATCCAACTGATAGCATTCCGATGTATCGAATTCTTTAAGCATGTCCATTGTAGCTGATAAGGTTGGATGGGTATAAAAGGAAATATTATTCCAATTACGATTGAGATCATGTCCTAAGCAATTGACACGATTATTCCCCAAAAAGACTCCGTCAGGATTCATCATTGGAAGAATTTTAAAGACGACATTTTCACGTAATAATTTAGCAATTGGATGATTGGCAATAGCAAGGAATTCAATAAGTCCTTGAACGACATAAGATGTTGGTGATTCACTAGCATGAATTCTTGCTAAAATAACTACAACACGTATTTGATTCTTTCCAGGCTCAAGAGCTTCAGGTTTTTTAACATCATCAAATGTAATCAATTCTAATCTTCGTTGCTGAACACTATAAGCCAATGCATCCCGTTGAAGTGGAAATTTCTGCTCCAAAACAGACAAATAAGATTGAAGTCTCGAATATGAGTATGGATAGGTCAATGAAAACTGATAAACATCATCTTCACGATCAAAAATAAATGCGAAACTCAACACATAGTGCTGTTGATGAATTGTCGATTTATAATAAAAGACGTGCTCCTTTGGCAGTCGTTGCCATTTCGGGCGTGATGTTGATTTTACAAGCGGGGTCATTCGTTGATTGAAGAGATTATTATTCTTATTTAAATTTACAATGTTAAATATGACACGTTGATCTTGCTTACAGTTGTCGACAGTAAAGTTAAACCAGAAGCGGTAGCGTGGATTGCAAGTGTCGGGACGAAGACAAAGGTCATATTCGTATTCATTAATCAATAATACATTCCCTAAATTTCCAGTCTCAAATGCAGCATCAAAGCACAGATGACCTAAATTCATAAAATTTATTAGAAACGCAACTTAAAAACTTTGTTCTGCACTCACCTTTCTTTGCCTTTCCACTATGTCCATGTGGTCGAATAATCAGTCGATTGACATTTCCTAAGCCTCCTTCTTCATCCGAATCTTCGCTATCTGTAATTATTAGAAACTTTAAATTTAATTTTACTTCCACCGAAAAGGCCAATCCAATCCACCTCCATTCCTTTCATACATAGAACGATCCGCTAAAGGATCACAAGCAATCATAGTCATAACTTAACACCACTTAATCTTACACAATACTGAATAATGGATATAGAAACGTGCAAGAAATAGAAGGATTGGAAAGTGTAAGGAAGTGAATAATTGGGTTAAATAACTAGAAGTGAAATTAAATTTTCAATCGGAATATAAATCAATTGTACGAAGGTAATGCCAATATTGCAATATTGTTGCGCGCTTAGAATGAGTGCGAAAGTTCAAATGAGCTATATACAGCATGTTCAAACAATGGACAAGGAAATGCATGATTTGTGCATCATGTATGTAAACTACTGTTGCATTCTATATAAGCTCGTAATTCTATACGTTACATGCACCATGAAAGCTTCACGAAACTTTCCAGTTAAAACTTTTTTGATGTTCAATCAAAACAAATAGGAGTGAACATCATTTTAAACATCAATCTTTGCATTTACTTTAATGCTATAGCTTTATAAAAAAATTGAGTTTGCAATTTGGAATAGATTAGATGTAAGTACATAAACATCAAATAGCTACATTTAATTTGTGTCTACTTAAATTGTATGTATATGAAGCATTTCCTTGCATTCCTATGCTTGCATGTTAAATTCCTGCCGTGCACAAAATCCTTAATTATAAAGTTTTCCCAAAGAGTGTATGTACATGGATTGAATTCCAATTAAACGCCTCTTTTCATAAACAAGAAAGAAATTTGCTTGTGCATTCCTATTGATGGTTTTTTGACTTAGGAATGTGCTTTTTGGATGTACAAATTTTCGTTTGTCTTATGGTCTGGTTGACTTTAAAACTGCCTAAAAGGTTAAGATACACTGAGAAATCTTCTGTGCAGTAGAATTAAAGAAAGATGACTTCTGGATGTTATTGATACGGTAAGGATTTTTTAAATACTTTCATCAAAATTGAATTTTTGTTGTTTAAGGAAAATGCGCTCAATCCACAAATCCACTCAAGTTACATAATCTACCTTCCTTTATCGAGCAAGGAGAGGGTGAAGCAGTGAAAAAGTAAGTAAATAGAAATGATTTTGCTTTTCTTTCTTGCCCATGTAAAGTAAGTAAAGAGCTATTTAGCATGAAATGCAAATTCTTGCTATTTTTAGCCGTGAATTTTTTTCGCAATAGAATTACTCTTTTGTTAAGGCTCAGTTGATTTTGAACAGCCAACGGGATCACATAATAGAGCAAGGATTATACCTCTTTTTGGTCGATAAGCTGATAATATTTACAGACTCGTGGGAGGTGCAGAACAATATAAAATAAATCTCTAATCCAGACAGGTTGACCAAAAATATTTTATAGGTGTCAATTGAAATTTTACAAGCTATTAATTTTGTCTCGTCTAATTTAATCAATTTTAACAGTAACTGTTTATCTAATTTACCTGATCCCATCACTCGATGACTACCCTCTTCCGACCGTTACTTGGGTTGTAAATTTACTATAATTATCTAATTTACAAATTGGATATGAAAATTTTGCTAGCTGTATGTTAGTAAAAAATTTAGAAATATGAATATTTGTTTAATCAATATATGAAAAATAATAAATTTATGTTGCATAGTAACAGCACTGTGTATGGAAAGTCATTTCCCCTTACTTTAAGTTCACTAATATGTAAAATTATTAGATTCAAAAATTTTAATTCAGCATATTAAGGAATTTCTATACAACTTTTTTCAACATTGTTGTTAGCGACAGGAAAATTATACAAGTCGGAATCAATAGAATGGGACAAAAGAAAATTGAAAAGACGACTTTCGGCGGTTCTCTTTTTGTTTCAGTTGAAATGATATTAAAATTTTTCAATAAAGCTATGAAATTTCTAAAGTGATTTGAAACGTGAAAATAGTAAATTGCCATATTTCTTTAAAGCAGTCTTACTTGATTGAAAAATTCAATTTAGCGGCTCGATTGACTAGAAAATTAATTAAATAATTTTGGTATTCAATGTCAAAAAAGCTGTATTGAAGGATCAATCTGGACACTTGTAAAAGACTAAAATGTGTTCGGTATCAGGTAAAAGGCAGGAGGCACCTGATTGATTTAATTACGCGACTATCAGACGACATTGCTGGTACCTGAGTATGATTATAAAAAACATTGGATACTAAGACAATCTTAGAATATTCATTTATAGCAACTATGTCAAGTTTTAAGTGTTATTGAAAATTCTAACCCGGATGAAAATGCCACCAAGAAATATCCAGAAGTTTTATAAATAAAATTATGAATCTGTTCTAGTTTCATTCCTTAGTCCTACATCTTTCACTTCCCGCTTTTTAAATATTAAAGCCACAACTGAAATTAATAACAGTTCCATAAAGTTCAAAAAAACACCTTCAGACATTGACAAATCAATCAAAAATTGAATAAATTTTCAGAATTCAATGGATTTAAATTTGGAAATAAAAAGCTCCTGTTACTGAGAATCAAATAGTCTACGCATTACTTACAATTCTCATTTAATATCCAATTCCAAAAACACAAAAAAATAGTAATAAAGAAAGAAGGAAAGAAGAAAAAAATTAAATCAAAATTAGATCTCGTGGTTCAGACGTTCATCCCTCTTTTTTCAATATGTTAAATTATAAGTAACTAGATTGACTTTGACATGCCCACGTCATGCCTTCATGCCTTATTAGCAATAAAAAGAGTTTTTATATTTTGTGTCGGGTAAATATTTGATTTTCTAGCTTAACAAAAACTTCAATAATAATACCACAATCATAAATAAAGTTATTTTTCTTCATAAATGGATATCCATTGCAATTATATGTACGAAAGTTTGAGTTTGATGTTTACATACTGACTCATGCTGGTCATTTTCTCAATAAATTCCAATTGGATTATCATGATAAAAACTGGCGTGGCAATTGTACATCTGAAAATATTTGCTCATGAGCTTGTTTCTCACAATCTTTTTTTTGTGTTTTATTTCAATTGAATATACACCTCGAATTAAAATTAAATAATAGGTATATACACATACAAAAGGAGAAGAGAGAAACTGAGTTGTATTTTTAAGGTGGGGATAGACGATAAGCGAGTATGATTTTTCCTACGTTGAACTTATGAAGTGAATGTTGAGCGCTTTTTGATGCTGGTTGCAAAAAAAGGATTTATTAACTGATTTCTCAGTGTTTTATATTTGAGACTTTAATTCAATGTTATTATTTATAAGGTTTCAAAGGTTTAAATTTTAACTTTTCTTCGTTTTGTCTTTCAGGAAAGTAGTAAGCTTTGATGAATTTACTTTTCACACGTGTAGCAAATAAAATAAAAATAAAGCACGAAAACATAATTTGAACATTTAAAGTGCTTAATTTAATAACTTACAGTTTACTTTATAGTATTTAATTAAGTAAGCACAGGTTTTTGCTTCCTTTGAAAAACTATAATTAAATTCATGTCTTACAAATGAGTTAAATTATAAAAATGTACTGAAACTTTTACAAATTAAGAATAAAGATCTCAATTGTCAAATTGGTTCTGATATAGAGTTTGAAATTGTCATGATTGTCATTGCTTACCTTATGTCTATCAGAAATGCGACTTTTATAGCAATTTATCATCATACTTGTTGATTTTAAATGACTTTAAAAAGCTTACTAAGTTTGAAATTGTCAGAAAAAAAAAACTTAATCTATAAAAGACAGGAGCAGAAAGCAAAAATTGCAAGTATGCATACTTAAGTAAAATATATCTTGTTTGCTTAATCGTGATTGCTCTGCTTCAACGACCATTAAGATTCATTTTATAGATTTTTCATACCTTAAATTATTAGCAGTTAAGTGGAATAAAATAAAAAATGAAAAATTCGTGATATTTTTTTTGGTTGCATCTTAAACGTGATCAGCTCGTAATGTATTCATCAGAATATTTGTTTAATGACATTAAAAGTAGAAACAAAATAAATTTGTTCCTTAACTCGATGCTAAAATTAGATGAAAAAATCTAAATCAATCATTCCATTACTGAAAGGTTTTAAGTTTTTTAGACTCTAAATGAATGTGATTAATGAGAAAGAGAAAGGCCTTAAAGTGATAAGTTTCACACTGTCTGATATAAAAAGCAGGTACTCCTTTTGTTATATATAAACGATTAAGATTGTAGGAGGAGTTTTGATTCTATAGAAACTTCATCAAAAATAAAAAAAACATGGACAAAGCGCAAGTTCCACTTTTTTTACTCAACATTTACTGTCAATAAATTTTGCTTAAAATTATAATATGTGAAAATAATTTAAACATGAATATAAAATTAAAATAAATAAATGAGAAACAAAAAGAAAACATTATTTGATGCTTGGTTGTATGTGTCATAAACTTGAGGTGGGGGTAATGCTTTTTGTAGACTTGTCTGTGTATTATAAGAATTACGCTCTCGCACCAACACATCCAATCATGTAATGATAAAATGTTTGTCGTGAGTAAAATTTAAAGATTCGGAATTCATTTTAATATCATTCTTTATATCAACTGCTTGCAAGCGAACAAAAAAAAAATTTCTCGCTTCGTTTTTTTTTCCTTTTTTTCTGAAGTAAAAAAAACTTTCGGTCGTTCTCGATAAAAAAAAAAATATTTAACTAAGTTGACAAAAGCGCTGAGCCGAAACAAGAAGGCAAAAAAAAGTTTTTTAAGTCATTTCAATTAATTTTCACGAAGTTTCGTGATAGACAGTTGGAAATTAATTTTTTGCCTGTTGTTTGTTAACGTTGGAAGTGATAACAAAACGAGTTCTCAATTTGACGCGATTTAAATAAATAAACAAAATTCGCTTGTTAATTTAGTGATAAGAGGATAAATAGTGGAACATAATTAATTAAGGAATTTAGTGCTGTTTTGTTTTTGTGAATATTCAAATAGAAGATAAATAATTAATTAACAGAATGGATCGTGAGCATTTTTCAGACGATGATTCACCAATGGTAAGTTATATCTTTTTGTTGTCTTTCAAGCACGTTTCTATTTCATTTTCATTGTTTTTGCTGCATATTTACTTTCTTTCCTTCTTTCTTCGACTATATGCAGGAATTGTATAGAATTTGTTACCTAAAGTGATAATAAAATAATCCCTTAAATCTTCTATTCAAAAGAAGGTCTTCTGTCCCGTTATGTCTTTGATAAATTATTCTTGTGCCGCATATCATAAAACTTTTTCTAATAATTCTTTATTCACTTCCAAAAAAAAAAAATTATTATCCAGTCAAACTCAACACCACATTCAGAAGAGGACGACAAACATAGCGAAGACTTTCCACGATCACCACCAGCAAAATATTTAGACGAATCACCACCGCATGAAGAGCCAGATGCTTTCGCACAACAACAGCGTGAATTACTCGAGAGACTTAAGGAACAGTTTTCATCATTTCCATTTCATCATGCGTCCGCATTTCCCGGACTCGATCTTACCACATCAGATCAAAGAATAAAATCAGAGGCTCAAAATGAATTTCCCTTCTCATTTCCAACACCTCCGCCATCAAAAGACGAAGTTAAAATTTCATCGTCATCGAAAAAGAATGGAAGTAGTCAAAATAATAACAGCTGGAGTTACGAGGATCAATTCAAACAAGTGAGACAAGTAAGTCGAGATTTTTATATGTTAATTGTATGTTCGGCTTGACTGGGTTAGGGGTTCTTTGATGAAGCCGGGAATCAAGGAATTCTCATTTTATGATCACAAATTTATTTGATCAGAATCTTCAATTGCAAGTATCCTTAATACCTGATAATTGTCATTTAACCGGTAAAGACCTCAATGAGCCCCATAAAAATTAAATCTGAGTCTCTAGAACCTCTAGTCATTATCTCAAGCATACTGTCATATGGCGTCATAATAATTATATCTCTATCGCTCCTCATCTTTCAAAACGTACAAGAAAAGATCTTAAAAGCTACAAAATTTTTAATTAATTCCTCAAATATAAGAAGATTGTGTTTCTATGTCTTAAGTATTTTATTTCAAGGATAATGTGAGGGAGAACAAGAACAAGAAAAAGAATAAGAATGTTAAGGATAAGTCGAAGGAAATTTTTATTGATGCATCTTCCATAAAAATTCCATTTGTAAAAAGGACTGATTCCTTTTGTAACTATATGCATGCATCTACATATTTATGCAGACTAAAAACATGTGTTTCGCATTTTTCATGCATCCTTAAAAATGTCTTCATCTGCTTGCATGCATTGCAATCGATTGAATTTCTTTTTGAGGGTTGCTCTTGATGATGATATTTATGTCAGCATTAGGGAGAGTTTTATGGAAATTCAGAGGGCCTTTCATGGTCAGTTCTGTGCACTCAATGAATTCTCGTGATGTTCAATAATTAAAAACAAAGTTCTACTGAAAATATATAAAATTGAGAACGATCTTAATTAGGTTTGTTTCTGTGGATTATTAATGACTTGATTAGGGTGTGAAAATAGTATAGATGAATTGCAATTATGTGTGTACGTATGATGGGTATTTTTTTTCACAATCACAATTCATTTTAAAATTGATTATTAAGTTTCAAAGATGGAGTGCGTGTGAATTAAAACAATTGTTAATTTTTTGTAATTATCTTGCATTAATCTCATTCTATGATTGGAAATTTTTTAGTGTCGATGATTTGTTTCAATGATAAACCCCGTTATTGGAAATTTTCAGCTATGACTATCATGTGATTTTTCACATCAAATGAATCGTCTCTTTTGTTTTATTTTCACTCGAAATGATCGCATTGCACTTAAATTTTTTTCCATATTCACATAACTTTTTCATAGATTATTGCCAATAATAATGAACGACTTTCTTACGTGGACAAAATTACCACAAAACGAAATGTTTTTCATTAACTTCATTTTGAAATTGTCAATTAGAAAATCTCTATCTGTGCTTGTTCACATAGATATAACATCTATTTATGCTGCCTTTTTTTTTGCTAATTACATAAATACGCTTTCTAATTAATTTCACATGCAATCCATTTGCTAATAAACAAGAAATAAAAATAAGATTGTGCGTAAGTGGATCAATTTTCATTGCGATCGATATGCAATAGCAATTTACATCCCGTTTTCATGTATTTTATTTCATTTCCGTCCATTGGCACATATTAAATTAATTAATTTTCCTTCTCTTTCTCTTCTCGAGAGATTTGGAGCACAAGCGGTGTGAACTTAGTTGGATGTAATTTTGGATTTTCATGTGAATCCTCGATTGTTTAGCAAATTGACTCAAAAGTTTGAATTCACATTGAAAGTTCCGATCAATTCCAAATTTCAAACGAAAATTATCTCAAAAATGAATAAAAATCTTATATCAATATAAGATGTGCATTTGTGTTGATGCATATCAAAAGAGAGTGAGAACACACAAAGCAGTTGTCTGGTTGGTGAGCAAATAAGCAAGCAATCAAAAGAAAATGAAAATGAAAATTGTAGATTTTAATTGGTTTCGCTTGTGCTCATGTAATTAATGTATAACAGCAATGGAAGTTTATCTGCAGAGTCTAGTCATGTTTTGACTGGAAAATTGCAGGCTTAACTTAATCCATAAGAGATTAAAGTGTTGAGATAAATAAAGTTAAAATAAATAATAAAATAAAAGTGCTATGGAATTAATTATAATTATAATACATGTGTAATTCACTAATGAAATTAATTGAACATAATATTTAACGTCCGACAAGTTGTAGAATGATATGTATACATAACTAATTACAATTCATCACCTTTGCATCCTGCAGCTCAAAACTCTCGGCATTTGCACTGAACTGTGCACATAATTATTTTAATTTCATTCCAATTTCTCATTTTTTATAATAATTTTAAATAAAAAATTGTTCAATTCATTATAAGAAAAATATATTTAAATAATAATAATCATATATTGCGTGATGTTAATTCTTGATATTTCTTTGGCATTTCACGATATTATTATTGTTAGGCCTGGTGCATATAATAAAATAAGAGAAGAAAAATTGCAACTGAATTACTCATTCAACGGTAGCCGTAGCCGCGTTGAGCATTTCTTGAAGGCAACTTCACATCAAAAACTGATGCTCTCTCTCACTCACACGCTCGTGTATGCTGCTACTGCTTACTCGAACAAGTTCCTATGGTAAATTACGTGATAAGAGCGAATTATAAATTCTCAAGTCACAGGATGCATGGCCGATTAAAATTCTTTTTCGTTGCAAATTCCTTTCAATTTCTTTTTTCCTTCTCTTTTTTCACTTTTATCAGGGGTGTGCTTTCATGACACATTCTTATGTGAACGTATCCTCAATGGCTTTATATGCTCTTATCAACGAAAAGTTTAAAATTTTTCTAGATAAATTAAAAGAGACTATCTTCGATCATCGCATGGAATTCACTCGACAATATAAAAGATTCTACGGTGCTTCATGACAAATTCACGAATGAGTCCTAAATGATGAAGTTCTTCGAACAAAAAGATGGCTATCAGTAAGATACTTCAATAATTTTGTAGTTTGATGCTAATTTTAAGGTTAGAATTATTCATCTTCAACTATAGTCTTACTTCGGATTTATGATATCAGCATGCAACCCTGCAACCAATCAAACATGCAAAAAATCAAACTTTTGTTTTTTATCCGCGGTGATTATCGAAAGGAATCAATATAAATATATTTAAATTTTCCTTTTTAATCTTAAGCTCCATCAAATTGCTTGTTCTTGTTTTATAAAATTTGTTTTTCTTTATTATGAAATAAGTGAGGCTGAGTAGAGAGAGAGAAAAAAAAAACGTGAAATTTGATTAATTGACTTAATTATTTTGACGTAGCTGAGGAGAAAAAAAATAATATTTAAACTTTTTTCATTTCATTTCTTTAATCAATCTTATAAAATACAATTTTTTATATTTCTTCTCATGTTCTTTTACAGCTTTATGAAATTAATGACGATCCAAAGCGCAAAGAATTTTTAGATGATTTATTTACGTTCATGAAAGATCGAGGTAAGTAGAAGAAAAAGTATTAAAGTATTTTATTATTCAACATTCATTTGCGACTCACTTTACTCTATGGCATTGGTACTTAAGGTTTGTTCTGAGGTACATACATGACTGGGTGTTATTAGCGTGCGAATTATCGAGATTTTCAAAATATTTTGTTGAATTAAGCTTGTTTTGCTGCTTAAAGCTGAATTCAGGTGATCTTGAACTAAGCTGATAAAATTTTTGCTGAACTGATTCAAATTTACTCAGCAGTGCCAAGATTTTCGCATATTTCTGAAAAGTTTAAGCACTTCTGCCTCATGTCTCACTGTGGCGATGATCAGAGGGCATTTATCTTCCTATATTGTTTGTAAAATAACGATCATTATAATCAACAACATCAAAATGATGAAGAAAGAAGAGATTCGTTTGACAAATTAATTTAAAATCACGTTTGCTATTAATTATAAAGCAATTAAATGAAGATCTATGGTAATAAAATGTTCTAAGTCCCTAACATAAATTCCATCCAAAGAAATTCATCGTTTTTATAAGCGCATCAATTAATTTTATCATCAATTAAATTCTTTCGAAGATTTTTGAGGCAAAGAAGAAATTTACAGTAGAAAAAATATAGATTTAGACTCAGTCAAATAATGTTGATGGAACCCGCGGTTCACCACAGAATTCATCATCATCATCAATTCTTATTCTATATTCCCATTAAAAATTATGTAGATTGAAAAACACATTTTTGATGATCGTAAAAACATCACATTCTATCGTCTCATATATGAGAGACGAGACTAGTTTTTATGTGTATATTCCTCATCAAAGTGATGATTCTCACACGCGATGTCGATTAGATGTTCACGTTCGTCTGATGTTTGATAATAAATTATGGTAAAATTTCTCTCCATCTTACTCACTCGCTTATTTTTTGGCTGTTGGAGTAAAGAGTTAAGAATTCATTCTTATTAGTTTGTGAATGAGCTATTTTTATGGATTTTTAAGGCAATAATCGAAATCATGAGAAAATTTATGCGATATTATATTTAATTAATACTGAAAATGATCATTATATGTCTTTGGATATGGATTAGATTCGATTTTCTCATGGTCTGGTGCAAAAATATACACTCATTTGAATTTTATTGATCGGATTTAGATATAAAATCATTAATTAGGTAGCTACTGCTAACAATCTAATGAAATGGAAATCAAAATCATAACACATCTGATTTGATAAGAATGCATAAATTATTTCTTATTTTTGAATTCACAACAACAAGTCATAAATCTCCAACTTAATCTTTTTTGACGTTTGAGACGTGTGTTGTGACTTGAAGCTTTCAGATTTGTCTATAACATACAATTGAGATTGAACGGATTTCAGATAGAAAGGAATTTTTTGCGAGCTAAATTGGATCTAGTCTTGCTGTGGGAAAATATTGTGAGAAAAATTGATTTCAATGTCATTTGAACTTAATGGGATGTCCACACATAAAGACTGTCTTCTTATAAATTTAGTCATTTTTTTCTAGATTCATGTCTAAGTTATACCTCAGGATACCTAAAAATTGAACCTCAATAGGACCCTAAATTAAGGACGTCATAACTCTAAGACTCTCAAGTGCTCTTCTGCTTAGTATTGAGTATTTCATTTGCAAATTTTTTTATTACTCATTGATTTTCTCTTTCATTTGTGTACCTTTATTTACGAATTTTTTGATGTCCCCCATGAGTAAAATTTTGCATAATGAGATTACATAATATCCCCAACAGAAGTACGCACATTAAAGAGTTATGATAAGAAAAATTCGACACACAATAAACACTTAATTATTTTAATGAACAATTTTTCACTAAAACCTTCAATCATTCATCATCATGCGAGAGCAAAATAAGAGGATATAATAAAAATAGAATAAACATTAAAGCAATGAAGTCAAAAAAAGTGACGTGTGACACAAAAAAATATAATATTTGATTTGAAAATAAAGAGCAATCAATGTCGCACTATTTTCGACAATTGAACGTTATAGCCACGTTTTCTTCATCGTTTAGAAATATTTTCTACTTTTTTCCTCTTCCACATTTCTTTATGTACAAACAAGAAATATGAAAAAAAATAAGCAAAGCTCACATCTCTTTGTGAACAAGTCATTAAACGTTAATTGATTTCGAATTTGTGTGTGAAAAATGTCTGCAGAGGAAGAACAATTCATTTATTTTGCTGTGAGAGTTTAGATGATGATTTATTGGATATTAGATCACACTTTTTTTTCATAAATTGATCAACGCAAAGTTCGCAGAGTTTAAAGACCGCTCACTTACATTAAAAAAAGAATGAATTTATGAGAATTTAACATTATTTAACGCTCAAGACTTATATGTAAGCCATTAATGAGTCATTATGGGATTAAATCTAACCTACAAATTACAAATTGTATGATTATGTTTTACAATTGTAATCTTTAAGTCATTATTTATTATATGTACATACGAATGAACTCTATAGACTATATAGGAAAATCGGTATCATAGATATACAATATGAATAATTTTCTATTCACAAAACGAACTGACAAATTGCTTTTTTATTCCAATTATTTTATACTCTCTGTCGGTTCGGTCTCTATTCAATTATTTATGTTATATACCGTGCGTGATGTGTATTATGATGATGATATAAATGATCTTTAACGACTAAATCATCTTACGTTTCCATCCAATATGAATTACAATTAATTGTGTCGCTAGCTTATGATAAATTAGTGGTAATGTCATAATTCTCATATGCCTCACTTGTGTATGTATATGATGCTTTTATTTCTCATTTATTTGAAGAAATGAATGTGGATCAGGTTTATGTCAACTTGGGACAGAAGAAAAATCTGGAAATTTTAAAATTTCATCTTAAAAGAGCCATTAAATTGTTAAAAATGAGATCCAATTTATCATTTATGAATGTTGAAAGGAATAAATTTTTTATTTCTTAGATTTTAATTTTCATTCATTTTTCTTTAATAATTAATTCAGGAACACCAATCAACCGACTTCCCATCATGGCAAAATCTGTATTGGATCTATATGAATTATACAAGCTTGTAATTGCACGCGGTGGTCTTGTTAATGTTATCAACAAAAAACTTTGGCAGGAAATTATCAAAGATTTAAATTTACCATCAAGTATAACAAGTGCTGCTTTCACTTTACGCACACAATACACAAAATATTTATATCCATATGAGTGTGAAAAATATAATCTATCATCGGATTCGGAACTGCAAGCTGCTATTGAGAATAATAAGCGTGACGGTAGTCGTCGATCAACATCAAATTACAATCAGTTCAGTCCACAATCGCCACAAACTCCTCATCATCAGCAGCTTCAAATGGTAAGTCACACTTATTTGCTTTTCTAAAGTCTTCGATAGTTCTAAGCTCATAGCTTCTAAATTCAAATTTCAAACAAAATCACTCATTCAACTGATTTATCCTGAAAACAGGCAATGGCATCAACACTAGCGGCAACCGCAAGCGCAAATGGAGGACTTAATTTATCAGGAAATAGTAATAGTAATCAATCGAATGATTTACCTGGCAATCAACAGCTCAACGAAATGCAATTGGCACAGCAGCGATTTATGATGATGATGTTTCTATATAATCAATTCATGCAAGCGCAAGGTCAATCAACATGAACTGCAAGTCGTTTATTTTGAAGAGAAATTTAATATATAAATTATAAAACTTTTGATTTTGATGGCCAAAAATTTTTTTAAAGAAATTTCTAAATACCTTAATACATATTATTATAATTAAGAACTAAGAAGCAGAAGAAGATGAGTAGTAAAAATTATTTCATGACAAAATTGTGCAAAAAAAAGTATGAAGTTTCATGTAAAGAATGATGTTAATATAGATTTAGTGAGGGATGTAATTTTTCTTCTCTTATTTTTTGCTATTTAGAGCTTTTAATGACAAAAAAATTGAAGGAAATTTTAGATGTGTAACGAATGCATTTCTTATTCTCTAGAAAAATTTTCATTTTGTTGATGAAATGATTTGAATTTCTATTATTATAATTTTTTTGATTTTTGTTAACCTCAAAAATTGTAGATAAAAATGTTAATTCAATTTTCTCTCTATTGTTTATTTCATTGAGGACTTTTCTATTGAATTGAGTCAAAGGTTTAGAATAAAGAATTTTGAAAAATTAGAAAAAATTTTGAAGTTTAACAATAAAAGATGCAGAAATTTTAAAAGACGCAAATTTTTTTTTGGATGAAAATGCAAAATAAAATGCAATAAATTTGAGTGATGCAAAATTATAAAAAAAAGATGCAAACTTTTTTGAAGATATGGAAAAAGATGCGAAAATTTCTTCATCATATAACAATTTTGAATTCAAGAAAAAAATTGTGAGAAGTCCAAAAAAATTTAAAAAACCTCTTTAACTTTCTTTTTATTGATTAAAACAGTAGATGCTTAAAAATTTTATGTGATAATAATTTGCAAGGAAAAAAATCAATTTATCGAAGAAAAAAAAATTAGAAGAAATTAAAGTTTTCTTTATAGACAGAGAAACAAAACAGAAAAATATACACAAAAAATAAAGGAAATGAGTATTGAAAAAGATTTTAGAAATTTAAGAAATTTGCCTTTCAATTCTTTTCTTTTTTTTGGAGTCATTTCAAAGCAGTCACAGGCATTTAATATTTATGGTGAAGAGTCGAATTTCAATAGTTATCGATTGTCGTTGAAATGACTGGCTTCCTTCATTGCAACAAAAATGTATAAAAATATGTTAGAAAGTTGCATATGAATTATCGTATCCATTAAATCGTCCAGTCGCCCTACATTATTATTATTACAGTAATTTGTGAAGAAAATAATAAGGAACATGAGAAAAATAAGTCTGAAAAATCTGTTTGCCATATGGATTTATTTCAGGCTTGTAAGTATCATAATTTTGAGAATGGTAAGTAAAAATAAAAAAATTCAAGGCCGAAGATATTTTTATTCCTTTTTTTTTTGTTGTCTGTCTATCTACATGAATGGACATAGAGACAAGCAAAATCATCAAGAAATGTTGTTTTTATTATTTTTTATTTTCTAAAACAGAACTTAAAATGCAATAAATTACAAAAATAATTTTATAGACCTGAAAATGGAAACATAACAAAATAAAGAAAAATTATGTAAATTGAACGCTCAATTCTGTCTCAGCCAATCATAATCGTTGGATATAATCAAGAAATTCCAAAAGTGGGGAAATTGTTTCTCTTCTCAAAAATGTTTGTAGAGTTTTTTTTGCATTATTTCTATAAACAAGTGAGTATCAAGCTTTTTTTTTATCTACGCTCCGTGCATGTGTAGAAGTTTTCATCTTCTCTTTTATGCATTCGTTCTTATTTTATTGTTAAATTGCTACTAAAAATTGTTTTTGTGCGTGATTTTTTTACTTTATAAACTTTTCGGGATCTTAATTTGCATTTAAATAATTTTTGGATAGAAAATACCGAAATGAAACATTCACAAATTTTTTTCGTGCCAAAAACAAGGTCTAATAGCACTTTCCTACAAGAAATATTCAACAACTTAAGATTCAATCTAGCAGTAATATTTGATTAATAATATATTCAACAGAAGTTTTCTAACCTCTGTACGATAGATATGAGGAGATGAACAATAAACAAATAAGTTTGATGAAAGTAAACAACAAAACAGAAATTATGAAAATTTATTTTATCAAAAAATGTGGTAGAGAATAATAAAAGAAACTACTGAATAATTCAAACAAATTCAACACGTTGATTTTGAATGAAATTCAAATTTTTTTCTTCATCTCGAAAGTCAAACAATTGAGCATGCCTTAATGGAAGTATTTTACTTCTTTTTTGACTACAATATAATATTATATTCATTTTTATTGATAGAGAGTCATCATTATCAAGTTTTTGTGAAACACTAGCACGCTTTGGATGTATCTTGGTTCTTGATATTAGAACGAGGGGTTTTCGATGTCGAGATCTAGACCGATAACTTGCTGAATACAGCTGAACTTGTTGAATAAAGCTGAACTTGTGGAATACAGCTGAACTTCCTGTATATAACTGAACTTGCTGAATACAGCTGAACTTGTTGAACAAAGCTGAACTTGTTGAATAAAGCTGAACGTATTAAATACAGCTGAACTTGTTGAATAAAACTGAACTTGCTGATTAAAACTGAATTTACTGAATATAGCTGAACTTGCTGAATACAGCTGAACTTGTTGAATACAGCTGAGTTTGCTGAATACAGCTGAACTTGTTGAATAAAGCTGATAATGTTAAAGTTGCTGAATGTGATAAAATGTGTATATATTTATTTACAAAAAGCGTTCTTCTCTGAATGACTTTAATCTGAGTATCTACAACTTGATGCCTCCTTCATGCAATCGTCGTTGTCATCATCATCATCAGAGGAAAGATTGTTGATTTTTTTGTATGTCGTGTTAATTGTAAATCAAAACATTACTTCACTTTATATCTCATATTTCTTATATAAGTATGTATATCTTTTTATATTATTTTCATATCCAACCTTTTTCCGTCAGAGGATGGAAAGAAGAAGTAGAAAAAAAAATTAATGAACATAAACTTATATTATATTGAATAATAAAAACAGTTATTGTTGTGTGAGGTGGCACTTTATTTTATGTCAATGACATAAGAAAAGAGAGTCTAACTTGCCCAAAAAATATGAAAATTAATTTTATTTTAGCATTGTTAGTTGCCACTTATCCACACTACTGAATCATTAACTATAGTTAATAAATAATAAATTCATAAATTATGAAGGCGCATAAGTTGAATAAATTTCCTTATATTCAAATACAGCAGTATTAAAATGGTGTGTTTGGTAGTGAAGACAATTGAAATTAATTTTGCTTATGTGCGCATAAGCGACTAATATTATTCTCCAGCTTGCTTACAGATATTTTTTATATTAATATTATAAGTTGATGATGGTGTTACCCAGCTTTTTTTTTTTTTTTTATTTACATTTAAATTTAAGTATGTACAAAGTTTCTATACATTTTGTTGCTTTTTGTTTTAAGGTTTCAGGCATTCAATTTGCCTTTTGTCTCTTAATTTTGATTTCATTTACGGATTTTACTTTCTTTTGTATTTCATTTGATTTATTCGGTGTTTTGAGATGCAAGACGACTGTTGAAGTTCGCTTGCAACTTTCCGACGTAGTCTTCGATGGACGGTATTTTCGCTTCTGTATGAAGATCGGTGATCCTTTCATATCTTGTTTTATTGAGAACAATTCTCAAGAATTTGTTTTGCAGTACTTGAAGTTTTTGAAGATGGGTTTTTGCCATGCTTCCAAACGCTGGACAACCATATGTGAATATTGGTCTGATGGCTAGCTTGTAGATGAGAAGTTTGTTTCGTACGTCGAGTTGTGAGTTCCTGCTGATGAGCGGATAAAGCTGTCTTAATGCGGTGTGAGCCCTATTGGTCACATACTCCACATGCGGCTTTAATGTCACTCTCTTGTCGATCACCATTCCCAGATATTTAGCTTCTGTTTCCCATTTGATGTTTTCGTTGAGAAATTTGATGTTATTTCCTGGTAGTTGCCTGGAGTGCCTGTTTGTGATGAATAAGGCTTGAGTCTTCTGTTTGTTGAGGTTGATCTTCCATTTGTTCATGTATTGTTGAACTTTTCTTCCTGTGTGCTGTAGATGTGTCACAATATCGGCCGAGTTCTCTGCAGAATGATACAGTGCTGTATCATCTGCGAAAAGACCGATGTTGTTGGTTGTCTCTCTTACAACATCATACGTGAAGATGTTGTAGAGAGTTGGTGAAAGCACTGCTCCTTGTGGCACTCCGAATTTGATTACCTTGATTTCTGAGAACTGACCTTTAATAAAAACTGCGAAAGATCTTTCACTGAGGAAAGATCTTACAGTTTTTATAAGTGGCAGTGGAAATCTCAGTTTGAGCATTTTGTACAAGAGTCCGTTATGCCAGACTCTGTCAAATGCTTTTTCTACATCCAGGAAGATCATGCCTGTTGACTTTTTGTTGTTTAAGTTTTCTTTTGCTGATTTGATCACTTTGATGAGCTGGTGAGATGTTGATCTTCCAGTCCGGAAGCCGCACTGCTGGTTTGGGATGATGTTGTTATCCTCAAGATGATCGTTGATTCTATTCAGTAATACTCTCTCCAGTATTTTGCTTATTGAGCTGAGTAGACTTATTGGCCTGTAGCTGCTTAGCTCATTTGCTGGTTTTCCAGGTTTTGGAATAGGAATCACTTTTGCATGTTTCCAAACTTTGGGGAAGTGGTTGAGTTTCAGACACGAATTGATGATGAATTTCAAGTATTCGAAACCTTTTTCAGGAAGATTTTTGATGAGTATGTTGTTGACTTCATCTAGTCCCGGAGCTTTTGGATTTTTCAGATTTCTTATGATGCTCACGATTTCGTTTACATCTGTTAGTTCTGGATTCTCATCATTGTCTTGTTCCAATGCTTCTTTGACTGTGTTGTTTACTTCCTGTGTATGTTGTGGATCGTTTTGTTCCAGAGGATTTTCGTGAGCTTCGCGAAAATACTCGCTGAGTACGCTGGCTTTTTCTTTGTTGGTGATGAACGTTTTACCCAGATTTGTCAATGGAGGCATTGTTTTTGAACCTTTTTTGCAAAATTTTGCTATTCTCCAAACTGTTTGGTTTGACGGTTGAATCTCTGAGAGACGCTTATTCCAGTTTTTGTTTTTGAGTTCTTTAATTTTCTCATTGATGACTCTCTGCAGATAATTCAATTCAGATTTGAGTTGATTATCTCTGCTTCTCTGCCATCTTCGACGAAGACTCCTTTTTGTGTTGATTAGATCTTTAATCTCCGGTGTGAGTTTAGTTGATTCGAACTTGATCTTTTTCATTTTTACACTTGAGTTCCTCGCTTCCATGATGAGTTCAGAGAGAATCTTAATGTGATTCTCGATCTCATCTGTTGTATTGCAAGAATTTTCTCCAATGTTGTCTTCAATGCGG